TCTCCTTTCGCCATATGCCGTAGAATGCTAACGAGGTGCTTAATCTGTACCGGATTCTTCTGCGGTCTGAACTCCTGCCTGGCGTCTATCATCTTCAACGCTTTGATGCATAGGTTGATTTCCTTCTGCTTGATCTCTGGGAACTTGAGGTGGTGGAACAGGTGCCAGGCGCGCAATCCTGACAAGTAGGCCTCGATTGTGGATGGTTTGACTTCTTGGTTCGTTTTCTCTTCTCCTTCAACTTTAATTCCTGCCCACTGTATGAATAATCTAATATTTTCTGATGTCGCTGGTAGTACTTGGTTTTTCGTTTTGTTAATCGACGTCCCGAACTTCAAGTACTTTGACACCGCAGAGTTGTACTGTAATAACGTTTCCGCCGTCCAGCTACCACCTTTTAACATCAGTCGTTGTACCGGATCCGCGTGGAGGTTGACATTTCCCCATCAATCACTTACAAAGTGCTTCACTTTGTCCTCATCTACGACTTTCCCCTCATCACGTTTCGTCTTTTTCATACTTGGTAGAGGAATTGGTTTAAGTCGGGGGGGATTTCTATGCGGACTTCGTTATGCCAGTTAAGTTTAGCTTCTTTGATTCCTCTTGAAAGTTTATCTGCGTTGTTATCGCCTGATGCCACTCGTTTTTGTTTGATGGTGCACTGATTCTTGGTGAGTATCTTCTGTATTTGCTTCCACTCGTTGTTGACCGCACGATCATTTGATCGCGAGTTTCGGAGCGCTGCTTCGGTTGTCGTGTTATCAGTCCAGACGATGAAACCCTTGCCCCTAACTTCCTTCAGTTTCAGCATCATCAATAAGCCAAACCTCACCGCTACTGTCTCAACCTATGCTATACTCCGTTTCACTAAATCCTTTCCCACCTCATTCCATCCATCTCTTAATTTAAACTGCGCCCAATTTTGTCCAATCAACACCCCGATACCGTAGGATGTCGACGCGTCGCCGACCCAACCTACGTCGTCTACCTTCGTATCCGGGATTATCCTCATGTGGTCGAACGTTTGGAGGACGTTGAGCCATTCTTCAAGATCTTCTCTGACTGCTTCAGTAATTCCTCTTCTCGCCTCTGGGTTGCGCCATGCTTCCTTCCACCCGTAAAGCTCCTTCATGTAACATCTCATGTCCGGGAGGATGTAAGTCGTGTGTCCAAGGCGTCCAACGAACTTGTCCACCTCTTTCTTCTTCCATTTAGCACCCTCTAGTAAGTCCTTAATGTTCTGTATCCTCTGTTCTATCTTTTCTTCAGGAAGTCTCACAGTTTTGTTTCTACCGTTCCAGATGAAACCTAAGTATTTCTGTTCATCTGCGAAATCGGAATATTTTGTATGGTTGGTTTTCACTCCCATGGAGCTACTCAAGGTCAGCACGTCTGCCATCATCACTTTACTTCCTGCTTCTCTAATTATAAGATTGTCGTCCACCCATCGAAAAATCTTTGGGATCTTCAGTGCTGACATCATGATTTCCTTCCATACGTCTGCAGCTCGGCCGAACGTCCCACACCCGGCAACTCCTCCAAAGCCAACCCGAGTATCAACCCACAAACGGTTGTGAAAATCCAGGATCAGTAAGTACCTCCATTGGGAAGGGTGTGTCGGTATTTGCCGATACGCTTTCTCCCAATCGAAAATTGCTAACTCCCATTCGTTCTTGCTGTTCTTTAGGAAAACCGCAACCACCGCAAAGTCGTCCCACGTGGTCTCAAAATCTTCTTTATCGACAAACGAATTTACAGATGGTATTTCTTGATCGTGTTTCAGGAAGGACAAGTTGCTTATCATCCTGAAAGAACCATCATTGTTTACAACACTACCCATGGGATTTGAGCGGAAAAACCCGAACTTCCTATCACTACACCAAATGTAATCTTTACCGGGCGGTAAAGAAAACTACTGACATAGAAAAGTCCTGAGGCAACAGGAAGAGAGCTAAAAATCTGAAAAAATATGCACCTTGCTCCTAGATGTTGGGGCGTCATGATGAGTATTTTTTTGTATTTTACACGTAGATATTGGTTTATGTACTAACAATAAATGCTGAAAATCATCAAAAACTCACATGTACAATACCTGAAATTTGGGTCATGAGTATGACGACACTATTTTGTGTTC